CTGGGCTGCCCTCAGATCCCCTAAAGTTCAACTTTAACTTTTTGTGAGTTAATTGGAAACTACCAATAAACCCCAAAAGCCAAAAAGGATAAGGGGATGGCGAGCCACCAGCGCCATATCCCGCCCAAATCTGGACTCCGGGGCTCCCAGCTGGGACGCGTCGTCGCACTCCCCGATGATGCAGTTCTGGCGTCCGGAACGCGCGAGCGCGGGCCCCAGTTGCCTATGCGTTCAAAGGCTGAATGTATCCTTACTAGGGCTGGATGGTGTTTCCCTCCAGATTGTTGGAGTCCCACGAAAGAGGGGACACCACTATTATCTTGGGTCACAAAGATCTAAATCGCAAGCCGGAAAATCGGAATCCCAAAAAACAAGTTTTTGTCAGGGAGCAAACCGCTTGTGTCCACATACAGGAAACGCCTGGTATGATCGCCTAGTTTGTGGGCTGACAAAGGTTAATGATGGCCTAAAACCAGCCAGGCCGAAAATGGCCATGGGTTTATGCATGGGCCCATGCAAGCAATCATTTGACATTCAAGGAACACCCCTCCCTCAAGCATCTTTGTTCGGGCCTTTTTTGGGAGAAGGGACCTGTCTTTAGCAGAAGCACCCCAACAACTGCTTCTTCCCATGTCCAACATGCCCTTACTGTTGGGACCCGGCTGCTGGTTCCTCACTTCGGGCCGTTGACTTTTCCCTAAGCGCTTAGCCGGAATCCTAAAGGCTCCAAGCAAACGGGACCGAAGCTAAATCCCGGACGTTCAGGCTGCAGTTAGGGCTCTCCGGTTTTTGGGTGCCTCGTTTCTGGGCGCGCGTGATTCCCCCCGAAATCGACGTCCCGAAATCGGCTTCGCGCCCGACAGGTTTGGATCATCTGGTTGGTGATCTTCGAGAAGAGCTTCGTGATCCTCTCAGACCTCGGTGCCAGCCAAATTCAAGGGGGGGGGGGGGGTTGAGCCCTGCATGCGCCCTGGGGATTTTCCTGTGAGCGGTGAAACATGGCGAACATCCGTGGTTACCCGGGTGAAGACAAACAATCCGGCGACTCCTCTCGCGGAAAAAAAACGGGGCAGGCCCTCGGTTGTCCCATCCACAGGAGTTTCGGCAGCTGGGAGCAGAGGTTGCCTTCCCGGAAAGCGGAGGTTGGCTTCATTTCGAAAACGCTCGCAGCCGAAGACACAGCGGGTCGGCTTCAAGAAAGGTCCCTAATGAGGGCCGCAAACAAGGCAATTTCAGTTTGGCACGGTGGAAAGGGTTCAACCAAATCTGTTTTTGGGGTATCAACTCCGCAAACACGGACAGACCCCACTAGACCTTTTCTCGCATCATAGCTCTGGGTGCTCCGTGCGTGTTGTAATACCTGGCGATGGTATGGATCATCGTGACCTCGGGTCCGAAGATTCGATTCGACCCGGCGGTTTGGTGCCTAGGATTTGCAGGAAACCAAACCCTTTACCAAGTTTCTTCCGTCAGGTGTGGTACTCGTCTCGTTGGTGGAACTGATCCCGACCAAAGCGGCAAAAAACGTCGGGCTAAGCGCCCCTCCAGTCATGGGCTTCCTTCCGGGACATGTATGGCGCTGGCTCCCATTTCTCGAGGATTTGGCATCGTTTGATTCTAATGACCCTTTCCCACTTTTTTCAGCAACTGACCCTCCCCCCCTCTTAGAGTTGAAGGGTAGCTCGGCCGAGCCGAAAGCAAAGGGGAGGAGGCTGGATATCTAAAGTCTTCCAACTTGGAAGGGGAAGTATAAGTATGGGATTGACAAACCTGGGGTGGATAATCAGCCCTTACCAGCCCAACTGGTTCTTCAACCGTGTCTTTGAAATCTCCTTGGCACTGTCCAAGCAGAACTGGTTGGGACGCGGTGCTAGCACCGGCGGAAACACCTGGCTTTTCTGCCTTTGCCGAGGCGCTGAGTTGAGAAGCGCCGGCAGGGTGTCGATAATCTGCGCCCTAGATCGCGCATCGGGGGTCATAGGGGGTCTCTCTATTTTTTCTATAGGCTGATTCCCCATTCTTTTCAACCATTGTTCTTTCCAATAACCAGTCGTTTTCCCTGGGTTTCCGGAGGTTTTCCGGAAAGAAGGATCCCTGGACAGAATGTGGAAGGTACCACCTGTTTGTTGTGCAAAAGGGAAATCAAAAGGAACACCGCCATTTTGGTGGTTCCCCTGATTTGAGGCAACCCCATATGTCATGCCATGTTTCACCTGACTGGTTTTATAGGCCGGGGATGAGCCCAAACTAAGCCATGCAACTAAGTGCAAAAAACGCATACGATTCCTTCCGGTCAGGTCTCAATCCCTTGCAGTGCTCGATTCGGAAGCAACCAGTTTCATCCGCAGTTTCATCCGCAGTTCTCGGATTTATCCGGACCCCTCTAGTCAGGGAACCCCCCTGAAGAATTGATGGAGCCCGGTGGTTTGCCGAAATTGGTTTCCCATTTACTGTCAGGAACCAGGAGTGCGCATCCCCAAACCACCAATCCAACCACCAGGTAAGGATAATCTGAGAAAGCAGGTTCAGTAGGTTCACGAGAAAGGAAAAAACAAAACGAGAAGGCCCGTGGGATGGCGGCAAAAGAACCATGAAGTGGGGAGTGCTAGCTTTGAAAGTCACTTTTGGTGGCCCATGGGCCATGCTTTGCAAAAAAGAAGAAGAAGAAGAAGAAAGACCGGGCCCCAGGGGGAAAAACAAACAACATGTTAACCATGGGTGAAACATCAATTCCCACCTAACCATGGGTGAAACATCAATTCCCACCCCATCCATTTACAAGAGGAGTCCAAATCTTTGTGAACCCGGAGAATCGGGTTCAAAACTTGGGTTGCACCGGCCTGGTTGACAGCGGTCAACTCGTGAGAGGCCAATTCTGGCTTGCCAGTGGCCAGGGGGGGGAAAAGGACCTGCCTTTTTGGCTGGTTGCAAAGAGGGCCCTCTGAAAACAAATGAAAAAAGGACAACGAATCGCTCGGGAAGAGCCGACAGCCGATCCCGAGGGCTGCACGGAGTCCCGGAGTACAAGGGCTCGATGAACTTCTCCAAGGTGGTCAGGTACTTCACGTTGTCCTGCCATACGCCCGGAGCCCGGAGCTTGGAGCCCAGAGGGTTTTTGCATGGCCCCAACAGCCCCCCTGTGACCCAAAAGGCGCACGGCCTTCAGCCAGGGGTCTCAAAAGCCTCTGGCCGGTTTCCCTAGCATCGAAACGGGGTGGGGGAGGGGGTATGGTGGACACTTAGGGTCCATTTTGCAACCTCCTTCTTTTAGGGTATTGGTTTTTTAGGTATGGTTGCAAAACAGACTCTAGGTGTCCATGGCACGGGGGGGGGGGGGGGGCGCTTCTGGGATCCAGCTTTTGTTGGCCCGCAACCTGCCTTTGTCGCAGCCTTGCAGCCAAGAGCCAGCCGCAAGTCCTTTGCTTCGTTGAAGGCTTCCGTGATGGAGATATCCTGGTCCAGCAGTGGTACAACCCTCCCCGTGTGCTTTGGCTTATGAGGTGAATGAGCAAGGAAGACGGTTCCTTTGTGGGGGGGGGGGGGGGGAACAAATGGCTGGCAAGCCACCTGTTCACCAGAAAGCCTTCGCTTCAACTCTGCAATTGCCCGGTAGTGGCACACACTCGGCCATGAGTGCTTGAACCGTCGGAAGGGCGAAATAGGGCAAATCAATACACCCCAACACCGCGGCAATGGACACCTTGAGAACTCTTGAAGCCCTCCGAGTGGCCCTTCTGTAATGCCTGAACAGCACAAGTACCTTGGACGACTCAGCGCCGGGGACGATTCAACCTGAGGCCGCTGGCAATCTGCTTCCATCTTCGGAGCGTGTTGAACACGGTCTGCCGGCCTCGCGAATGCCAACAAAAAGGACTTGGGGCTGGCTGTTGCATTTTCTGTCGCAATCCCAGAGAAGAAGACTCGCTGAGAACCTGCCCAAGCGGTTGGTCAATAGAGACCCTCTCCCGTGCCCCGCCCGCTTTCGCAAACATTTACGTGGGGATACTGCAAACTGTTTGAAGCACGCGGGGGAACCACTGAATTCATGGAATGTTCCGGAAACCTGGCAAAGGTACTGGCCCTTCAAAGTCACGTCAAGTAGTGGAGGGAAGCAACCCCAGTTTCACACCTTTGCCCCCAGAAACTTTTCGACCTCAGCTCTTGCCCCTGACGAACGATAAGATTTGTCGCTGTAGCCAATACTTAGGCACCTAAAAACGCAAAATCTCAGCACCTCAAGTTCACACCTGAAAAGTAACCCAAGGACCCCAAATCAGAGCATCCCTGGTATGGGAGGTACGCAAGTTACATACCATTCGTGTAAGGGAAACATACTGCTGTACGAGCTGACATTAGTGGCATATTAGCCTCCATATCTGCAGATTGTGCTTCACTCGTGGGGTGTTCTGTCAGCGCCAGAAATTCACTGAAGAACTCTGGTGACAACAAACAGGCTCCGATGAAGGCCGAAGAGCCACCAGGGATGGGAAACACTCCACAGCCCAAAAAAACAAAAGTCTCCCCAAAATGACGGGATTCGCAGAGAGATGGTTCACATCGGCTGAGCAGCTGGCACATGCGAACATGCGCCCTGCAAGCTACCCTCAAGGAGTCCCGGAAGGAGTCCCAAGAAACCGGGGACAAAGTCCCAAAAAACCGGAAGGAGCCCCAAGAAACCTGAAGGAGTCCCAAGTCCCAAGACACCTTTCCTGGTCGTAACCTGGAAAGATCTGGCAACGGCTGTGGCCATATCAACCACTTCCCTCCTTTCCCATGAAAATGAGAAATCCAACATTCTGGGATCCCATAGGCCCCACCCCCCCCCACCACCCGCCCAAGAGGACGGCGGTGACTAGGACCCCCCGCTCTTGGGAGCCACATCGCTACCGCCCTGCTGGCGCGTCACGGCCTAGGAAGCGCTGGGACCATCCAACGATGGAAATGTTAGCCCCAAAAAAAACGCCTCGCGCATTTTCATCGTGGGCTTCCCGCTTTTTTGGACTCCTTCTTGACCCTGCACGTGCCGGCCACGCGGGCTCTACGTCTTGATCATTCTTTCACCGTCGCGGCGGCCAGCTGGAGCACACGCCGGCGCTGCATCAGGCGGACACACTCAGTCCGTCACGCGAAGGCGCGTCGCAGAGGCTCCGCCAGGTGCCTCACATCTCGCTCCAGTGGACTCCAGGCTCCCGAAGGCTCCAAGTCCGCCGTTGTCAGCCCTGCGACTTCAGCGGGAGTCGCGCACCGCCGGAGTCGAGGCGTGCTAGCAGTACAACTCCTGCGATACGAAGCGGCCCGGTTCGACGGCCCTGCGTCTCCGCAGGCCTATCACGGCTGAACGTAAACAAAAGAAGGCGCCCCCCAGAGCAATCGAAGCAAGACAGGTTTACAAAGTGCAGGTTCCCTTTTCTCTTCAAGCATTTCAGCAAGGGCCCTTTCTTTTGATAAAGCAATCTCAGTCCCAAAGGACCTGAAATATGGGGCCAAATCAGTCGGCTTTGAACAACTGAGCAATGCTTTGCAGGCTGGGAGATGTTTCGGGACCGAAGAGCGGCCAGGTTTCTAGGAGAGGCCCTGTCCGCTTGCAGGTTCAAACCGAAAAGCCCACCAAGCGCAAGGCGTGCCAAAGAACTCCAGATGCCCAGGCTGGCCCAAGACTGCCGCGAGTTTCCGGACAAGATAGGCACCTCCAAAAGGAATTCGAGTCACCCAAGTGGACGCCTACGCATTGCAGGTAGTCGAAAACGCAGAACCCTTCTTGCTGAAGGGTAATGCAAAACATCGACCAACCCTACTTTGGGCGGGTGCCTCTAAATTTCAATCAACCTGTCGTTGTGCTGATTGTTTTCTTGTTGGGCAGGACCTTCAAAACATCCGGGGAAAAAAAGGCCAAAGCACAACAAGACAAACTGCCAACAAACACGGTGAAAAGAACAACCTGGTTACAGCCCCACCGCCCCTTCCACCCCCTCCACCCCCTCCACCCCACCCCCGATCAGCCCCACCGCCCCCCCGCCCCTCCGAGTCGACTCCCTCCGCTTTCTCCGCGCGCCACCAGCGCCGCGCCAGCGCGCAGCGGGCGTCCGCATTCTCCGCCGCGAGGCGCCGCAGGTCGAGGCGCACGAAGGCCTGGCCGTCGCTGGTTGCGTTTTTTTGCTGCGCCCGTTTCACCCATTGGCTTTTGTCTAGGTCCTCCAGTAGAGAGGTTAGAATAAGGGTACCCTTTTTTTCTGCAGTTTGTTTTAGTAGGGAACCCTCCCCCAAAAAAGGGTAAAAGGGCACTACTGGGGGACCTAGTTGTGGTTCTACCAACATGTTTTGGTTCGGCATGGGTCAAAATCCAAATCGTACCCCCAGAAAACATCCCAGTTCTAGAATGGGTGGTGCACCTACCCCAAAATGGTACCATCCGTTTTGACCCACAGCCACATGGCTCTATGGCCGGACTTGTTATCTTCACGGGACGGCTTGAGCAGTTCCGGCAGCACCTGGGGCCAACATGGTTTTATAAACTACTAGCATAGGTTTATACAATGCTTCTACAAACTACCAAAATCGTACTTCTACCAGGCCTTGCTATAAACCCTCTGAAGCCAGGTAGTAGGACAACCTAAATTGGTCAATAGGGGTTTTGGGCGCTGCCCAACTTGGATGTTTAACATCCGGGTAGGGCCATCCCATCGTAACTTGTTTGAGGACCAACTTTTTCAGGAATTCTAAAAAGAATCTTGGGCAAAAGTAGGTGCCCCAAATTGGAAAACTATGCTGTTACGCAACTGGAATACTCGGCACCCAACAGGCAAAGAGGACGTTTGTCGTCCAGGAGGTGTCGGCCCACAATTGCTATGCTAGTGGCAGGAAGTGTTTTTCGGGAATCCCTTGTGGGATGGCTTACAGAAACCAACCTAGCAACATGGACGTGTGGAAAATAGCTAACTTCTCTGACCAAGGCCATCCGCGTCTGCTTGCTGGGGTCAGGCATTTCCGATTTGGATCCATTTTAGCCATCTCAAACGGCATTATCCCCAGCCTCAGGTAGGCCCAACAGTTCGGTATTCTTTGCTGTTCTCTCCAACTTGGATGTTCAACAGGGGTGCACAAGGGTATAGAATTGGCCCCTGGAAAAGAAAACGAACGGACCCAATGGCAATTGTCTAGTGGTTTGGTCCTTGCTTAGGTTCGGAACAGCGATTTTGCCACCTAAGTGGGACAACAGGAGCTGGTTGACGCAAAACCATGGTCTGAATGCGCCCCTTGCAAAACACATACGTATTTCCAGTAGTACTCATAGGTTCCCTTTGAAACCAACCGGGGACCGGGGAAATAGACAACAAACCAACCGGGGAAATCATAAACAACATTCTCAAGCAAATGGAAGTAGACTACTTCCAAGGTTAAATTTTGAAGGGGTCCAAATCCCTGAATCCGACCCCAAAGCCTAGACTGGTGGACCACTAGGAGAATGGCGGCTTTGCCAAGTTCAGAAGCTCCTTCTTCGCCCAGCGGTTCCGTTGATTTTTGAAGCTGATTCTTGAAGCCCGCCCCTCAACCAAAGAAAGCAGGACAAGAATGCCTTTCTTTGGATCGGCGCCGGGCGCCAGCAAAATCCAAGAACCCCCCCCCCCAAGCCCCGCCAAACCCCCCCACACCAAACCCCGAACACAATACCCCCCCCCCCCCCCCAACCCCCCACAATAACCCCCCCCCCTCCCAGCCCCCCCTCCCAGCCCCCCTTCCCGCCCAAGCGACCCGCACACCTGGTGGCCATAGAGCCGCCGCGCCGGGGCGAAGCAGAAGGCGGCGCGCAGCCAGACCTTCCGGCCGGATGCTGGCGGAAACACCTCCGGAGGTATCATGTTCCATTCTGTGGATGGACAAAATCCTGCACCAAGTTAAAACCATGCAAAACCATTGCTTGCTGGTATTTACAAGGGAATCATCCCATGGTTTCTTAGGTGTTGCAACATTTCGTCCATCCACAGTTTGTGTTTGTTCAAAAACCGCCCCAGAGAAGAAGTGACATAAGAATAATAAGTGTTTTTCTCGCAGGTCGAAAATCCCAAGTACCGTTCATAAAACAGTGTTTGGGGGGAACGATGCTGGTTGGATAGGCAAATCGAAGACACTCAACTTGAACGGGAAAATCAAAAAGCTGGGGTCAATAACCAATTTGTATGGCCGTTTGGGCTGTTCAAATGGAGGGGTGGCCAATACTCCACAATCCTTGTAGGGAAGCCACTAGGGGCACCACTTGCGGTAGCCCAAGGAGCAAGGATTGCCGTTGAACACCCCAGTTTGAGGCTCCAGGTGCCACGTCTGCTTGAAAAGCCGCCTCGAAGAGCGCCTCAGGGCCCAAAGGCCCATCCTTTGGCGCCCAGCGATGTGCCACATCCGCCCTGAGGAAGACCAGGTCCAGCAACGTCGCCTACGACTAAGCTGCCACCGTTGACCCCGGGCCCCCCCCCAAAAAAAAAACACTAGAGGACGATTGGCCCGAAAGCATTTTTCCCCAGGTGCTCATCCAGCCGCGGAGACACCTTTTTACATCGCTGCGGCGAGCGTGTCTGCACGCGGCGATGCTCAACGTGTATGGTCACATGAGAGCTCCATCTCATCGTCCTACGAGAGGAAACATGGCAGTGTTCGATCCCATATATTTACATCGGTTAAAACAAGAAGTGTGAAGCTCGTAAAGCTCGAAACGAATTACAAGCAAAAGGAAAAGCAATCAATAGCAAAGCTTACACGACGGCCACAGTTTCTTCAAAGCACGCTCGCGCAACTTAGCTCTGTGCAAGATGGCTCTGCGCAGCTTGGCTCTGTGAAAGTTGGCTCTACGCAAGCTACTTTCCGCGAGTGGCTCTGCGCAACTGGCTCTGTGCAAGTTGGCTCTGCACGAGTCTGCTCGGCGCAATGTGCTTTGCACGAACTGCGCCGCGCGATCTCTCACGAAAGTGGTCTGCGCAAGCTGCATTGTTCCAGGCTGCTGGGCGCAAGTTGCTCTCTGCAAGCTGCTGCATGCAAGTGCTCTGTGCAAGTTGCTCTGCGCAAGTGCTCTGAGCAAGTTGCTCTGCGCCAGTTGCTCCGTGCAAGCGCTTTGCGCATGTGCTCTGTGCAAGTTGGTCTGTGCAAGTTGCTCTGCGCAAGTGCTTTGTGCAAGTGCTCTGTGCAAGTTGCTCTGCGCAAGTTGCTCTGCGCAAGTGACTCTGCGCAAGTTGCACTGCGCAAGTGCTGCCGGAGCTGTGGGAATGCACTTTGCGTACTATTTTTGTACTTAAAAGTTGCAATTTTCCAGCCGGAGCTGCGGTGCTCCGCGTACTACGTTTGTACTTACAAGTTGCGATTTTCCAGCCGGAGCTGTGGGAGCACGCTCCGCATACTACGTCTGTACTTACAAGTTGCGATTTTCCAGCCGGAGCTGCAGGAGCACGTTCCGCGTACTACGTTTGTACTTAAAAAATTTCAAGCCGGAGCTGCTGCGGACCAGGGGGGGGATCGAACCCGCGACGGCGGGATTGCGAAAGCAGGCGCGCAAACCACGAGACAACTTTCAAAGGCCATTTCGCGAGCAACAAAATCGCACGGCGCCACAGCGAGAGCGCTTCGACACGGCGCCACAGCGAGAGCGCTTCGACACGCCCGATCCCCGCAGAGGGTTCATCCGGGAATGTCAAAAACGCAAAAAAACCTCCAGTTTTTGCACCTCGACCACGATCCCCGCAGAGGGTCGCGCGCGCACCGACAAAAAACGCAAAAAAACCTCGAGTTTTTGCACCTCGACCACGCCTATCCCCGCAGAGGGTCGCGCGCGCACCGACAAAAACGCAAAAAAAAAAAAAAAAAAAAAACGAGTTTTTGCACCTCGATTACGCCGAGCCCCGCAGAGGGTCGCGCGCACACCGACAAAAGCGCAAAAAAAACTCGAGTCTTTGCACCTCGACCACGCCGATCCCCGCAGAAATTGCATTCCCGATCGCAGGCAACATCCCCACCCCCCGCCAAGAAAGAGATTCTTAATACCGAGCTCTTTCTCTTTCTTTCCCGCGCGTTAAGCACTTAACCTAACTCACTTAACCTAGCTTACACAGCTGCTAACGCCGAGCCTCTACACCTAGCTTAGCTTAGATCCATGCACCTAGCTCTATGCACTTGGCTCTATGCACCTGGCTCGATGCACTTCGATCTTTGCACTTGGCTCTGTGCACTTAGCTCTGTGCACTTGGCTCCTTGCACCTCGCTCTTTGCACTTCGCTGAGCACTTGGCTCTATGCGCTTGGCTCTTTGCACTTGGCTCTGCGCAAGTAACTCTATGCTGGTGACTCCATGCTGGTGACTCTGTGCAAGAATCTCCATTCTGGTGACTCTGCGCAAGTATCTCCATGCTGGTATCTCCATGCTGGTGACTCTGCGCAAGTATCTCCATGCTGGTAACTCTGTGCTAGCAACTCTGCGCGAGTATCTCCATGCTGGTATCTCCATGCTGGTGACTCTGTGCAAGCTACTCTGCGCAAGCTACTCTGCGCAAGGTGACCAAGAGCTCCGCACGGAAGAGCCCTTCGCAATGCTTTCGGGAAAAACAAAAAACATCCTGAGGCGTTGAGTCAGGACCCCAGCAGAAAAATATATGTTTTGCCTGCTTGGTGGAAACCAAAGAGGCCCAAAAAAATTGGAAAAAAAGGGGAGCTAATTATGGGAAAGATCCCTTCTCCTCACACCTTGCCGCCCACGTCGCCACGGACCCTGATTGGGGGGTCGGTAAGGGACCTTCTGGTGGGTTCCACCGTTCGCCGATTTTGTAACCTGTTCTTGTTCTTCTTGGGCATAGGGCACTGCCGCTGGAGTGCTTTCAGCGCCCGAATTTGTAGGTTGTAAAACTGCCCCTACAACCTCCCCCCCCCCCAAGCACACCTCGGGCAGGCAAAACCAACACTCCCTGGTCCCGTTTCCGCACCACTCAAATTGACCAACGCAAGCCATTCTCATTTCGGCACTTCCCATGGCAAGCGGTCAGGAAACCATGGTTGGTTTCCCCTTAGGAATGGGAAGTCAGCCCGCGTGGCCCCCCCAAACCGGAGACGAGGCTCACCCCGCCCCTTTGCCCCCCGCCGGCCCGCCGCCCGCCTGCAGCAGCTGGTAGTTATGAGCCGCCGCCAGGTCATGCCAGGCCTGAAGGCTGCAGCCCGACCAGTGCTGGCTCACCTGCGCTTCGATCCATCGAAACAAGGCTCCACTTTTTCACCCCCAAACCCAGGGGCGAGTCACGAACCCCAAAAAGGGAACCCCTGGGTTTAGTCTATTTGCAGGTAGTCAAAAAATGGAACCCTGCATCGAAACATGCGGGGCGGTCAAAACATTGAGGTACTAGCCGCGGCTTGGTACTAGCCCGGGCTCAGCACAAGGCTTCCATCTGAAGAGGTTGGCTGGGGGTCGGGTTGGTGGGCCGCATCCCCACCGTCCCCGGTGTCTTGTCTAGCAGTGACTTTCGGGTTCAGGGCGTGGTTATGCAAGTTTTGGGTTGGTTTGGGATTGGTTGCGCGAGTTTTGGTTTGGTGGTTTGGGGCAACGCCCCACAACCAATCCCAAACTAGCCCAAGACTTGTATAACCACGCCCTGAGGCAACCCGAAAGCCACAGCTAAAAGCACAAACAAAAACCGACCCAAAATCAACCTTACCCTCCCAACCAACCAACCAGGATGCCGGGGATGCGGCCACCCAGCCGACCAACCCACCGACCGACCGACCGACCAACCAACCAACCTGGATGCTGGGGATGCGGCCGCCCAGCCGACCAACCGACCAACCGACCAACCGACCAACCAACCAACCAACCAACCAACCAACCAGGATGCCGGGGATGCGGCCGCCCAGCCGACCAACCGACCGACCGACCGACCAACCAACCAACCAACCAACCAACCAACCAACCAACCAAGCAACCAAGCAACCAACCAGGATGCCGGGGATGCGGCCACCCAGCGACCAACCCACCGACCGACCGACCGACCAACCAACCAACCAGCCCCCTAGCAAGCTCCGAGCGGGGCTAGAAAAAAACACTAAAAAAACTCACCGGAAAAAAACATTGAAGATCACAAGGATTTCCCAGGAAACTAATCGAGCCAGGCTGTTTTAAAACCTCTATCCCTTGGGCCTTCGGTGTTCTTTTTCAAAATACGGCTTGATCCACTTTTTGGATGGCAAGGCGTAACCAAAGGGAAACCAAAAGGAAACCTGACGGGAAATTGCAAAGCGACACGAAACCAACTAACCACCTCAGGGTTGTAAGAAAACATTCCATGGGACAACACGACGCCGACGCGCACAGATGAGCGCGGTGGTAAAGGGCCTTGCCCTCCATCCAGTCGGCCCCCAGCACCCCGGCGCGGGAAGATGAGAAGCGCTCGCGGAAACGAATGGGCGGGGGCAGGTAGCGATTGTATTCCTGAGGCAAGGTCGGCAGTTGTTGTTTCCTGTTGGTCGGTTCCCACATACCAGAAAAAAAGGATTTCAACATGTGACCAGCAACAGTTCACCAAAAAATGCTGTATCCTTGGCTAAGTGTTGGGTCACCCACACTGCTTAAATCCTAATCTTAGGGTAACATTGACCAAGGGAATCTCTTGAGAAGTACGCATCTTGTCAATGCGGGAACCAACCAAAGGAAATATGCCCTGCTGACCTGCAAGGTGAGAAGGGTTGAACGTAGGATATGCCATAGACGATGCAGATATTGCGGGGGGTGTCTTGTTTGCTCTGTGGTTGATTCACAGTATCCACTCACGCAGCAACCTCATTGACATTTCCTTTACAGTCTCTAGCTCATATAGAGAGAGAAGCCCGCTTTTGTGACTGTGGTCCAGGTTACACATGCTTGCAATTCTATTTGGTCATGTACCTCTTCCATACATATTTTACCTTCTGCATCGGAGTAGATCCAGGCAAGGACCTACGAGGAGAATTCTGGGGAAAATTGGGACCCCAATTTCCAACCTCAATTGTGGTAGCGGAGCAGGTTTTTTTTCGAGGACGTCGAGTGAGGAGGAGCAGAACCACCCGCACGCATCGGCTCTCTTAGGAAGCCGTCATAACGGCGTGAGTTCCCATGAGGAGACCATCAATCTTTCGATGAATGCAAAATTGCCTCCATCGTATGACGGCTGTCCCACGAGCTGTCAAGACTCCGAAAAAAAAAAGCACAACTGCCTGCATCACACAAGTGGCATCGTCAAAGCCCGAAGTTCCTACCACCATCCCAGCTTAAATGACCCAACCAACCATGGGGAGTCACTGGATCATCAGAAACAAGCTGGAATGAGAATCTTGGCTTGCACGCCTGTAGCTCAAGGAGTGAATGAAGGCCTCTGCAAGTTGTGGTGATGAGGCACCCTCCTCACTTCCTTGTGAAAGGTGCTACCAAGCTGCGATTGAACCTTTCCATTGGCCATGGATTGCAAGTAGCTCACATCAGGGCTGGAAATATGCTGAGTTACGTGCAGATCACTAGCCGTCGAGCTCCTATGCTCACTGGCGCGGCATGCAACAGATGGCATGGGAGGATGCAGGAGAATTGCTTAGCCTACGTGCACCTCCCACAGGTCATCACCACAGCTTCTGATAAGTAGATCTCTTATGGTCAACAGAAACACTTGTCTTCATAAAAAAAGAAGAAAGAAGCAATGGAACACAGAAATGCTCTGCACCACATGCGAAACACAGATTTCACTGAACAGAGGTATCCATGCCTGGTGCTAGCTAAGCTCTCTACATTACCCATAGCAAGCTAGCAGCCTGAGGACGCTGCTGCACATTGGCCTAACGACTGGCGCCTGTTCTCGCATTCCACAACTCCGGAAGTGTGGCTGGCTTTGCAGCACCGAGCAGCTGGGAATTATTGTCTTCCTCGTTTGAATAGCCCCATAGTGGCAAGCCTCTTTTGCATTGGAATATGCACGATTAGAAGTGGTCGCTAGAAGCACTGTTGGTTACAAGATTCTCTGTAACTAGCACAGACATTGATTTCTGCTTTGCCTTCACCTTTAACGAGCAAACACTTGTAGCAACAAAGGGCTTGGTTGCGCTGGGGCTATAGTTCTGGAACAACACATTTTATGCATTTCGCTTGTGGGCCCATTTGGGTGTAGTATTCTCATGGCTTGCGTTGTGCGTCACACTCCCTATGGTAATTCAGTTGGGTAGGGCAGGGAAGAATATTTCTGTGTGACATACAGCCACGTGCGTCAAGTCACAGCATCTTGCCGGCAGTGCTTGGTCGGAAAATGCAAGTAAGTCCCACGAGGTGCGTAGCAGAGTTGGAACTCTCCGTCGTCCAAGCGCAGGAAAGAGCTCGGCAAAAGCCGCACGCGCCGCAATGTGGATGGCATGGTGCGAAGCACGATGCCGCAGCGGTACAGAATTACAGGACAATCATGGCAGCAGGCGCCTCCGCAGACAGTCTCTGAAGAGAAAGCTGGCAGATAGTGCCACGTTGCCATTATGACAGGCACTCAGCGCGGCGGGATCCCATGCCTCCCGGTTCTGTACTTCCAGTCTTGCCACCAGTGAATGCCCTGTTTCGGACAGGCGAACGTGCCCGTCAGAATTGACCACTACCAGTTGTTGCTTCTCCAGCATGTTCAAGCATGACAGCAGTTCAGCGTCTTGTTGGTATGGCACATAAGGCCGCCCCCTGCACAATGCCACTTGCTTAAGCACATGTACCTGAGGCGCACTATCAGCTTGACATCAAGTGGGCTTGTATGCTGGATTGCCCACTGCTTAATGTTCACAGTGAGGTCATCTGATGAAATATGCTCACCCGACAGACAAAAAGCCACACTTGCATCATGCATTTGTTGTCCTGCAACGTCAAGGCTGAGGGTGTACACAGTTCGCCCGTTCCGGCACTGCAAGCCCAATGTGGGAATCCACCTGTATTGCAATGTCTGTGCCAGATAGGCTACCCTTCACGGCAACCTTATGACGGGCAACAGCTGTGTGGACAATGCGAAAGAACACTTCGGCGGTTCCTTCCTCAACACTCGGCAACCTTGCTTGAGCTGGCTGGCCATCGCTGTCACTGGTGTTGCTGCTAGACTGAAATTGGGCCAGTTGGGCCGCCTCACACAACTCACCAAAGTCGAGACAATCCACCACCAAATTCTCACGGCGATGATTGAGCAACGTCGTTAGAAATGACGGATCCTGGATTGGTCCAAAGTCAAAAAGGATATATCAGGCTCACAGCGAAACATGGTTTTGTCAAAGATGAATTACCACGCCTAAACAAAGCGTCGATCACCAGTATGGCAACCACTTAAGGACAAGCCATGCCAATGCCAGTGCCACCCAACTAGAAATGTAACCAGATCCCCCCCAACCCTGCCCTGGTGGAAATCTGGTGGAACGTTCGTGGAACCTTAGGGGCCCTGGTGTGGTGGAACTTGTGGAACCCTCGTGAAACCTTCCTCAAACCAGCCCGGACCACCCCGTAGCGCTTGAAGAAATTGCTGGAACCCTGGTGGAACCCTCGTGGAACCTTACACCCCGTCTGTTGTGAGTCGCGAGCCGTGGCCGATACAGCCGGTCACACTGTATACCGAGAGACAGGAGCCCCTCAGGCTGCCACAACACAACAGCTAATCGGCAAGAAACGTAAGGAAGGAACACAACAAGATACAAGAGCATATACAAAGCAATTCCTGCAAAACCTGGCTAGACAACGAAGTATTCGACTTAGTCGACACCAAACTCCATGTGAGAAACTGGGCAACCGGTAGATGGGGAAGGAAGGCAACTTCCTCAAGACCGAAGCTTCCAGGATCGCCAACAGAATAAACGACAAACGGACTGCCCAGCAGCAACGGACTGCCAGCAGCTTCAAGAAGCGGATTCAGGCAGCAGCAAGTAGAGGGTGGAACATATTCCACATGGACCTGAAAACAGCCTTCCTACAACGCGAAGCCTACGACTATACCCGAGAAATAATCTGCCAGATTCGACCAGAAATTGATTAGCCCCCATACGTAGGAGCCCTTGTGAAGAAACCTGCCTACGGACTCAATGATGCAGCGATGCGATGGTGGAACATTTTGGATTCAGCACTCAGGTCTTGTGGTCTGGCGCCACTCGTGCGGATCGCTGCACCTACGTCTATTATGGCAGGAAGATCACAAAGTCAGATCCACGAACCAGTAAAGTCCATCATAATGGATTTAACTTTGAAGCAGCCATTGAGTCGTGTCTAGAAATCCAGTGGCAACATGATCCACATCAACTTCGAGAAACACTTGAAGGATGATGGGCAGCTGAATCCAGCCATGCGCGCCACGTACCGAAGTGTGCTTGGACAGATCAATTGGCTTCAATCTAGAACCCAATTTCACATCGGTTTCCAATTTTCAAGATGTGCATCAAAGGCCTCATCTCCCACTATGGTTCAGGTGATTCAGATTGGCACCTTCCTCTTCTCGTTATTTCTCGTTAACCTGGATGTTATGCACGAGAACAGTAACATCTCCGACGCGAGGCAGCGTTGAAACGCAAGAGGGGGAGAGAGAGAGAGAGAGAGAGAGAGAGAGAGAGAGAGAGAGAGAGAGAGAGAGAGAGAGAGAGAGAGAGAGACAAGGAGAAGGAACGTGGGTACTCCAGCTGAGGAGTAACCAACATTGGAGCAACGACGTCATCCTAATGACAGATGATGATGATGAATAACAATATCCTGCAGTTCAGATGGCATTTCCATATCTGTTCACTCCGATTCGCCGGAATTTCTCACCATGATCTTTGCACTAGTCAGTGTCGTTTCTACCCCTGCCGTGCACATATCAGGAGACTCACTTGCAACCCGTCAAAAATTGCGCGTCTCCGTACTCGTGAGTGTTTCGGAAACCAATAGTCTAAGGGCTACGCTACAAATTTGCCAATGCGCTACTCCTGCATCACTCCGTATGTTTCAAGCTTAGGAGCCGAGTAATTAAATCGCCCAATGGCAGTATTGATTGCTGATTGAATCTGAGCTGCCATGAGTGGAAAGAAATGTTTGTCTGCGTTTGTTCTGTGCTTGATTCGCAGTACCCGCTCATGCAGCAATCTCATTGCCATCTCTTGGCTCAAGGCCTGGTAGCTTTTACTGTCTCTAGCTCATAGAGAGAAAAGCCCGCTTTGCTGACTGTGGTACAGGTTACACTTGTTCCTCTTGGAACCAAACACTGCTTACAATTCAATCTGTTCATTTACCTCTTCCGTACGTGTTTTACCTTCTGCATCGGAGTGGATCCAGCCAGGGACCTACGAGGTGTATTCTGGCGATGCTTGGGACCCCTTATTTCCAACCTCGGGGGGGGGGGGGCGGAGGGTTTTGGGGTTGAGCATTGCAACAGTGAACGCTGACTTGAATTTCTTTGAAAGAGAATCCAGGGTAGAACAGATATGGTGTCTACATCCTGGTCATTGTCGTTGTTAGCCCCCTCCTATTTGTCAGCTGCAAGCCCAGGATTAACGCATGCTACCAACATCATTTGAGTGATCGCCCCCCCACCCCCCCCGGCCCAGAAAAGCACCGTCGAAACGAGTTCTCGGGTGGAAAAGGGGGTGCCCCAATATGTTTCCCCAGCCAATGGAAGATCACGTGCAACTAGATCAAAATGGATGGAAACCAATGGCTTCGTAGTACCAAAGGTCTTTTGCAATGATACATGGATGTCTCCTTGTTCGAGGGTACCCCCAATCTGGTCACTTTTAAAGGAAATCAAAAGACAAACCACACAGTTGGGGGGCACCCACTTGCTTGGCGCCATCTGCGGGGCTGTGGGGTTGGTGGGCTTTGCTCCTGGACCCCACTTAGCTCTCTTTGCCAAACGTTCAAGAACAGGAGCCCTGGAAACTTCAGAATTCAGGGTTGAGGGTGAGATCGCGTCCAGTCACGGACTCAAGTCCTTGCAAGAGGGGTGTTTTTGTTGGAAGATTCTTTGTGTGACAGCGTTGACAAGAAAATCCAGAGGGTCAGTTAACATGACGTTCTTCAAATCATGATCCTCGCGGTGGCGTAAACAGGAACAAACCGCAAAATGCTGCTCCTGCCCCGCTTTAAGGGACAACCCGCTGTTGGGTCTTTCGGTTTTATGCCCGTCTAGGGCCAAAGGTCTAGGGCCAAAGATCTGGCTGAAACCTGCAACGCCAAACCCGCGCCGCGCAGGGACCTACCACCCAGGTTCATTGGACTTGTTGGTTCCCTTAAAAGAGGACGAGCCCAAGCCCAAACCGGAATGCGGACCGCGCATGGAAAACCAGCTTCCCACCCACCAAAGTCCGGGGCTCTACCACCAGCACCGCTGGGAGCGAGGGCAGCTTTCGCAGAAGGGCTGACCCAAAGAAGCCTCAGCACGGGATTGGGCTGCAAGCTTTTGCCTCTGCTGGCTGAATGGGAGTTTTTCACGGTGGAACTTCAAGCGATGCCCATGTTCCCTTTCTTGCAGTGAGGGAATCCAACGGGTCTGGTGTTTAGGATGTCTAAGTGGTGGCTGCTCCTCGGCTTGAGGTAGTGTCGACCTATGATTAAACCCCCCCCCAAATAAGATTATGTTGCTTTTTTATGTTGATTTGCGGGGAATGTAGTACTTAGGGGTTGAACAAAAAATGTATTTAGGGGGCCCCCCTAAATAAAGATTCCTGGTTGCCCCCCCCAAAAAAAATCAGCAGCAATACTACTGTAAAGATTATGTAAACCAATTGGAATCCCAACAAGTCAAATCTCAAAAGGAGGCCCCAGCAATACTAAACCAGTTGAAACGCAAATCCCTCAAGCCAAATCTCAAAAGGAGGTTCCAGCAATACTAAACCAAATGGAAACTCAAATCCTGCAAGTCAAATCTCAAAAAGAGGCTCCAGCAATACGAAGTTTCGAGGGGGGGGGGGGTAGTTTATTAATCAGAGGTAGACATTACTTCAGTGACATGCATCTTGGTTGAAGGATTTGATTGGCAGGATGGAGCGTGTTGCTCACGTTCAGCGCGCCACGTAGGCAAATTGTGCTTTTCATTTAGCAGGCGTGGGTGCGTTCACACCAGCTGCGCGTGGGACGTGTAAGAAACGTGTTTCTGCAGGGCCGCGGATGAAGCTTACCAACAACTACCGACTTGCCAAGGATGGATTGTCTAAATCAGCTGGTAAACTGGAATCCTCATCAGGGAATCCACTCAGCTTTGCCACATCCCCTACATCAGCTGGGCTTTGGGTGCTGACCCCGGCTACCCTTGGGACCAAGGCTGAAATCCCAACACCGGGGCACAGTCGGCATGATCCAGGTCAATCTTCAGCAGGTCCACCTTTCCAGGTCAATCTCGGCACTCTCGTGGAAGGTGTGTGTGTGGGTGTGTCTTGGGGGGCCCACAACGGTGTTGCTTTTGGTTTTCCTTGAAAACCACAAAGGAGGAGCACCTTCAAAAAGAGACACCCAGTTATTCCGATCCCAATCCTATGTAAAAAGCCACCCGCGGAGCATTGTTGCTGTGTACTTGTTGGAGGGGGGCGCACATGGTCCAGCCATTTTTTGGCTGTATCCTTCAAGAAGGATACAGCCAAAAAAACACATGCTTTACAAGGAGAGCCTCTAAATCAAGTCTGGTATTTGGGCGAATGGCCCACATGCCTCCAAGCTGAAATGCTTTGTCTTGTTGGTTTTAAGTGCCCGCGAGTGTTTTTTGGTCGAACGCCGCCTCTGTGTGGCCCATCCTTTGCAGGCCGGCGGTCACAAGCTCGCTGGCCTCCTCAGGGGACACGTAGCCCACGTGGACCTCAGGCGCCCGCGGTGGAATACAGGTAAACCCCTTGGCGAGAGGTAAAACTGGTGGCCTCCTGTTTAAACAAGGTGCAGGTGGCCTCTCGGTTTAAACAGCCTCAGGCCAAAAGCAACGATTGCCCGGAAAAGTGCAAACATAGGTTTAAGTTGCTGCTAAATTGTGCTTGTCTCTTCAAAAGCTGAAATGAAAGCTTTAGGGTCTCCGCCCAGATAAGCTCCAGAGTGGGTGCCGGAAGCTCCGGGAGCTGTGTGCGCATGGTTGCTTGATTTGAACAGCCCTCCCTTTTAGAAACCCAAAAATGTTCAAAAAAAAAGTGCACTCCCGGGGCGTCCTTCCGTTTTTCAAAACCACCAGCAAGCGGTTGCTTAAAATTCTGCCAACCAACCCGCGCCTCCACCCCGGGCCAGCGGCCCTCCATGTTGCGCGCCACCTGTCGTGCTGAGGACTTCTTGGCTCTCTGCTGGATACCACCCCATCCAAAACAAGCTGCTGAAGATATCCTGGTGCGTCGCTGGCTTGGGTTTGTGGCGTGGAGGTAAGAGGGGCCTTCCAATTCCAAACCGCGCCCTGAGCTTGCCGGTCCAAGGGCCACGTTAAGGTTCATTGGTGGATGTTTAGATAACAGAACATCATGCAAATAGAACGATGTCCTGAACTACTTGCTGAAACTCGCCAACTGCTCGCGCATGGATTTGGTTCGATCGGCAACGTGTGGCTCCGACCAGCACGGGATACGAAGAACAAAAAAACAGAAAAGAGGAAGGGTAAGGAGAGGAAGGAGAAGATGATAACACAAAGGAGGAAGTAAGGAATCCCATGAAAGAGGTTCAGCTTTCCAAAATACCCCCCATCTGATCAGATTGGTCCCTGTCTAGTGGGGTTTGTTTGCATTTTTCTCGGGCAAACCGGACCCGATGAATGATCTGAAGGTTTACGAACCAAAACTTCACATCCCCTGTCAGGCTGTCATTCCTGGGCCATACTTAGACCCCGTATGGCCCAGAAAACGTGTTGCTGGCTGCAATGGAAAATCAGAAGACCACGGAACACCAACAGACAAACTGAGAAAAATGTAAGCTAGGTCTGGCAATGATTTTGAAGGGCTCGACGAAGATTATTCTCGGTGAGTCAGGAAACTCCGAATTGCCAATTGGCAAGCATTTCATGGAAGAAGGACTCGCAAACGAAAAAGTGATCTGTTTAATGGCTTTCTTAATTTTAGCCTCGTAGAAGTTCTGTTCGTCCAGGCGCTTTTCATGATATCCTAGCCTTCTTTCTGCCACTTTCAGGATGGGAGCGACATCTGGGCTTCCCCCCTAAATTCGCCGACATCCCTATGAAAGGACCTTGGTGGCCGAAATCGGTTGCAAGCCCCTGGCAAAGATCGTGATTCATGGGCGTCACACCTAAAGGAACATGTTGTTGCAATGGCCTCACAAGTTGTGTAGAAAACACACAAGGGTATAGGGAACCATTTCCGAAACAGGTATGGGAAAACTGGATGTAGGGCAACATAGGCCACGCAAATGCCCGATTTACGAGGGAACTGTGCGTTTTGGACAAAGCACACACCCAACTTCTCAACCACTTTCTTTTATCTGCGTTGAAATTGTAGGGAGCTGGTAAATGAACATCAAACCAAACGAAACCCAGCCGAAACCCTACTTTGACACAAAGAAACCCAAAAAAGCCACCTATGATAGCTAGTGGATTGGCCAAAAAGAGTCCCAGCTATTTCTTTGCACCCAAACCATGTTCTTCCCAAACTGCTTCAAGAGACTATAAACTCAATCGCGAACTGACATAGGGAGCCCCTGCCTCCAGGCCCTCGATGGCGAGTCCCACGGCGCCCCGCTCGAAGGCGCAGTTCGCGACATCCGCCACCGCCGAAGTCGCGGTCGGTCCGTGGCGGCAGCTGCCGTCGAAGGCGCCCAAATTCACCGCCACCGGCCTGGCGATTTTTTGGACAAGTGCAGCCAGGAAACAGGGGATCCCTTTTGGTTGGGGAGCGGGGCGTGTCACAAGGTCGTGCCATCTAGCCCACTCACTCACCCAACTCATTCACCTTTCTCATCAACTGTGGCGCCGACGGATCTGGGGCACGAATCGTAAAAATTGGGAACCTGGCGAACATGCGCTCGCCAACATGGCAAACAGGACCGAACCATCACTGCAAAGGGATCACCACCATCAAAATATGGCAGCCGCTGAGTGGCCGCAGATTTCCTGAAATCTTGAACCTGAGTCACTTGGCAGTTGAATAGATGAACTGCCAAAATCACTCCAGTTCGGGCTGACGCGCTTCCGTCCAGTGCGCAGCGCCGTGGGGTTTTCGTGCCGCCTGTTGGGGGGGGGGGGGGGGCATCTTGAAAATGTTTGGTTTCCTCGTCGCCTCCCTTCCAACCAAGCCCCAACATTCCAACATTACCTCAGTTGCCCAAAGCACCCAAACATACGATGACACACGCAACCTTCTCGGGGGAAGAATCTACAAATGGACCATATTGGGGACACCAAACCGTTAAAAGGTCGATTCGCTGAGTGATACAGTGCATTGGGAAATGGGGTCTGAAATTCGCCACACGCTTCTAAGCTTCTAAGCCTCTAAGCCCCTTGAAGCACACAAGCCTCTAAGCCTCTAAGCCTCTAAGCTTGTAAGCCTTTGCAGTCCTTGCGCCTCTAGGCCTGCGCGCTCCTAAGCCTCTAAGCCTCTAAGCCTCCACGCCTTCCAGCCTCCACGCCCCTAAGCCTCTAAGCCTCCAAGCCTTCCAGCCTCCACGCCCCTAAGCCCCTAAAGTTTAGGCGCGTAGAGGCTTAGGCGCTTAGAGGCTTAGGCGCTTAGAGGCTTAGGCGCTTGGAGGCTTAGGCGCTAGAGGCTTAGGCGCTTAGAGGCTTAGGCGCTTAGCGCTTAGGCGCTTAGAGGTTTAGGCGCTTAGCGGCTTAGACGCTTAGAGGCTTAGGCGCTTGGAGGCAAAGGCGCTTAGAGCTTAGTGGCTGACCAAGTGCTAAAGGTTTAAGCGGGAATCCACCGGATTTCCGTCTAATCTCCCTCCAGCACCTCTAAGCCTCTAAGCCCTGTAAGTCTTCCAGCCGCCACGCCCCTAAGCCTCTAAGTCTCCAAGTCTGTAAGCTTCTAAGCATTTCAGCCTCTGAGCCTGCACGCCCCAAAGCCTTTAAACCTCTAGGTCCGTAAGCCTGCACGCTCCTAAGCCTCTAAGCCTCTAAGCCTCTAATTAAGCCATCCAGCCTCCACGCTCCTAAGCCTCTAAGCCTCTAAGTCTTCCAGCCGCCACGCCCCTAAGCCTCTAAGTCTCCAAGCCTGTCAGCTTCTAAGCCTTTCAGCCGCTGAGCCTGCACGCCCCAAAGCCTTTAAACCTCTAGGTCCGTAAGCCTGCACGCTCCTAAGCCTCTAAGCCTCTAAGCCTCTAAGCTTCCAGCCGCCACGCCCCTAAGCCTCTAAGTCTTTCAGCTTCTAAGCCTTTCAGCCGCTGAGCCTGCACGCCCCAAAGCCTTTAAACCTGTAGGTCTGTAAGCCTGCACGCTCCTAAGCCTCTAAGCTCTCAGCCCTGTAAGCTTCTAAGCCTTTCAGCCACTGAGCCTGCACGCCCCAAAGCCTTTCAACCTCTAGGTCCGTAAGCCTGCACGCTCCTAAGCCTCTAAGCCTCTAAGCCTCTAAGCCTCTAATTAAGCCATCCAGCCTCCACGCTCCTAAGCCTCTAAGCCTCTAAGTCTTCCAGCCGCCACGCCCCTAAGCCTCTAAGTCTCCAAGCCCAAAGCCTTTAAACCTCTAGGTCCGTAAGCCTGCGCGCTCCTAAGCCTCTAAGCCTCCAAGCCTCTAAGTCTTCCAGCCGCCACGCCCCTAAGCCTCTAAGTCTCCAAGCCTGTCAGCTTCTAAGCCTTTCAGCCGCTGAGCCTGCACGCCCCAAAGCCTTTAAACCTCTAGGTCTGTAAGCCTGCACGCTCCTAAGCCTCTAAGCCTCTCAGCCCTGTAAGCTTCTAAGCCTTTCAGCCACTGAGCCTGCACGCCCCAAAGCCTTTCAACCTCTAGGTCCGTAAGCCTGCACGCTCCTAAGCCTCTAAGCCTCTAAGCCTCTAAGCCTCTAATTAAGCCATCCAGCCTCCACGCTCCTAAGCCTCTAAGCCTCTAAGTCTTCCAGCCGCCACGCCCCTAAGCCTCTAAGTCTCCAAGCCTGTCAGCTTCTAAGCCTTTCAGCCGCTGAGCCTGCACGCCCCAAAGCCTTTAAACCTCTAGGTCCGTAAGCCTGCACGCTCCTATGCCTCTAAGCCTCTAAGGTTTTAAGCCTCTTATTAAGCCATCCAGCCTCCACGCTCCTAAGCCTCTAAGCCTCTAAGTCTTCCAGCCGCCACGCCCCTAAGCCTCTAAGCCTGTAAGCTTCTAAGCCTTTCAGCCGCTAGCCTGCACGCCCCAAAGCCTTTAAACCTCTAGGTCCGCAAGCCTGCACGCTCCTAAGCCTCTAAGCCTCTAAGTCTTCCAGCCGCCACGCCCCTAAGCCTCTAAGTCTCCAAGCCTGTCAGCTTTCAGCCGCTGAGCCTGCACGCCCCAAAGCCTTTAGACCTCTAGGTCCGTAAGCCTGCACGCTCCTAAGCCTCTCAGCCTCTAAGCCTCTAAGCCTCTAATTAAGCCATCCAGCCTCCACGCTCCAAGCCTGTCAGCTTCTAAGCCTTTCAGCCGCTGAGCCTGCACGCCCCAAAGCCTTTAAACCTCTAGGTCCGTAAGCCTGCACGCTTCTAAGCCTCTTAGCCTCTAAGCCTCTAAGTCTTCCACCCGCCACGCCCTTAAGCCTCTAAGTCTCCAAGCCTGTAAGCTTCTAAGCCTTTCAGCCTCTGAGCCTGCACGCCCCAAAGCCTTTAAACCTCTAGGTCCGTAAACCTGCACGCTCCTAAGCCTCTAAGCCTCTAAGCCCTGTAAGCTTCTATTCCATCCAGCCTCCACGCTCCTAAGCCTCTAAGCCTCTGAGTCTTCCAGCCGCCACGCCCCTAAGCCTCTAAGCCTGTAAGCTTCTAAGCCTTTCAGCCTCTGAGCCTGCACTCCCCAAAGCCTTTTAAACCTCTAGGTCCGTAAGCCTGCACGCTCCTATGCCTCTAAGCCTCTAAGCCTCTAAGCCTCTAAGCCTCTAAGCCTCTCATTAAGCCATCCAGCCTCCACGCTCCCAAGCCTCTAAGCCTCTAAGTCTTCCAGCCGCCACGCCCCTAAGCCTCTAAGCCTGTAAGCTTCTAAGCCTTTCAGCCGCTGAGCCTGCACGCCCCAAAGCCTTTAAACCTCTAGGTCCGTAAGCCTGCACGCTCCTAAGCCTCTAAGCCTCTAAGCCTCTAATCTAAGCCATCCAGCCTCCACGCTCCTAAGCCTCTAAGCCTCTAAGTCTTCCAGCCGCCACGCCCCTAAGCCTCTAAGTCTCCAAGCCTGTCAGCTTCTAAGCCTTTCAGCCGCTGAGCCTGCACGCCCCAAAGCCTTTAAACCTCTAGGTCCGTAAGCCTGCGCGCTCCTAAGCCTCTAAGCCTCCAAGCCTCTAAGTCTTCCAGCCGCCACGCCCCTAAGCCTCTAAGTCTCCAAGTCTGTAAGCGTGTAAGCCTTTCAGCCTCTGAGCCTGCACGCCCCAAAGCCTTTAAACCTCTAGGTCCGTAAGCCTGCACGCTCCTAAGCCTCTAAGCCTCTAAGCCTCTAAGCCTCTATCCATCCAGCCTCCACGCTCCTAAGCCTCTAAGCCTCTAAGTCTTCCAGCCGCCACGCCCCTAAGCCTCTAAGTCTCCAAGCCTGTCAGCTTCCAAGCCTTTCAGCCGCTGAGCCTGCACGCTCCAAAGCCTTTAAACCTCTAGGTCCGTAAGCCTGCACGCTCCTAAGCCTCTAAGCCTCTAAGCCTCTAAGCCTCTAATTAAGCCATCCAGCCTCCACGCTCCTAAGCCTCTAAGCCTCTAAGTCTTCCAGCCGCCACGCTGCTTGGAGGCTTAGGCGCTTAGAGGCTCAGGCGCTTAGTCGCTTTGGCGCTTAGAGGCTTGGCTTAGAGGCTTAGGCATTTGGAATAGGGGCTTGGGCGCTTAGGCGCTTCGAGGCTTAGGCGCTTGGAATAGGCGCTTAGACGCTTAGAGGCTTCGTAGAGGCCCAAGTCGCAAGCCTCCACGCTTCCACGCCTCTCAGCCTCTAAGCGGGCGCTGGGAGCAGAGGCTTATAAGCTTAGGCGCTTAGAGGCTTAGAGGCTTGCGCGGCTGTTGATTAGTAGTAAGAGGCTTGGGCGCTTAGAGGCTTAGAGGCTTAGAGGCTTAGAGGCTGGTGTTGAAATAGGCAGACCCCTTCTCCCAATACAATGGAGTGACACTGCGAATGGAAGCCGGGTTTTTCGGCTTGGAGCCTGGGCCGCAGTGTCTCCAAGGCGCCAAGGAGATCCACCGGCGCGGCGGTGGACAAGGTGTGGCGCCCGTAGGTCCTCGGATGCGAGCTCTAGGGTCTGGAAGGGTCTTCCAAAAAATGGAGCGGGTGGAAACGATGTGGTAAAAGGGCACCGCCCTTTTTTCCTGCTGAAAGGAAGCTAGGCCCCCTTTTCAACAGTGACGCGACTCCTGGCCCCCAGATTGCCTGAGGTTGACGCCCTCAAGGTTGCAAGTAAAGCATCCGCTTAACACGGCAAGTTGATGCGAACCCCGAGTTAAACCCCCCCCCCCAGTTGATTCATGCCCCATGTGCTGGAGCACTGTCCACCCTTTTGAGGGAAATGTTCGCAGGTTCCCAGCAATTGGTTCGGATTGGGAACCGGGGATTTGAATGGCAAACCACCCCCGGAACCTCCACCAATCCGAAAGTGTGAAGCTGAAAGTTGGTGGCCCCCACTTACTTTCCATTCAAAACGCAAAACGGGGGGAAGGAGAGCTGGAGCCGTGCCGTCCATATCTTAAAAGCGAAGACGGGGTTCCATGTGGGGAGTCCTTTGAAAATTGATCGGTTTTGGGGATTCCTTCTGTTCTGCAAGAGTGTACAAACAACCCTCCCCCAATAAGAACAAACAAAAACCAGCAAAACCCACCATAAACCTACACCGAAAAAAAGGGCGGGCGGGCGCCCAACAAATCAGCAAGTCCCTTGCGCCCCAGCCGCCCGTCCAGTGACAGCAGCGGCTGCCTGATGATGGACTCCACCCACCCGCACTGCTCTTTGTTTGCCGGGCCAAGGGGATTTGGGGCATGGGAAGAAGCAGACATGTCGGGATTCGGGTGCTGGAAGGGGATATTCCATGAAGAAAAACACCCACTTGGCTGACGCCAGAAAAAACAGGCTCACGAAAATGATGATCCCTACCAAGCAAAACATACCTATGTCTGTTTGCGGGATGCCGTTTTGATATTCCATAGTAATCTTCAGAAGGTTTCTAGGGTGTCGGGCAAAGTTCGGTGGATGCAAGGAGGCCAACATGAGGCCTGACAACACCAAATTCGTACCACATGCTTTTCAAGAGGCTGCAGCAACAGTATCAGAAGTCTTGCAGATTTAGTTGGCCTTTCTGCTCCGAGTTTTGTACTACATGGGGGCGCACCCTCCGGGGAAATCCCCACCCTGGGTCATTTCCACATCAACCGGGCTGCCCAGCAGGCCTTCTCCGGGACACGTGACAGCTGCAATTGCCGAACGCAAGGCCAGCCGAATGTCGCTGGTTAATCAACGGGGATCCGGAGTCCCCGCAAAAAAAAAAAAAAAACAAGGTTGCCCCCCGCCTCAGATAGAAAGATCGACCGGCATGTCTCTGCTCCCCACTGAAAAGTCTCCAGTATGTCCAACCTGTAAGCATCACCACGCCAAAGGGAATCTTACTTTACATTCGCCCAAAGTTGGTGGTCTAGCATGTCCTTTCTGTCAAAATAGAACCGAAAAAGATTATATGCAACACAAACAAGCCCACACGCAGGAACCCCGACCTATCCCAGTGAGTTTCCTGTCGAAGCCCTGCCTCGAAGTGAGGTTCGGGCTTTCAAGGCTCTCGCAAACCGGCGCCACCTGCAGCCAAATCGCAAACTGGGGGTCCCCGCGATTCGTGGTTCGTCTCGAAACAGGGGACCCCAAAAACAGGGCTCTTTCTTGTTCCAACTTGACACCAAATCCCAGCAGCTGCCCCAACAAGACTATTGGGAGGCTTCTGTTGTGAGTGTGTTTGTGTGTTTTCAAGAGACACCAAGAGCAAGCCGGGAGACCTCCCTACTTCCGAACATCATCTTCCATAGTTGCTCGTAAGAGGGCAGAGTAGGCTCAGAGATTTTGTTTCAAGAGTGGCTGATTTCCCCCAAAGGTTGGGAACCCCCGAGTACAACCCCGAAATACGCAGACCCCCCCCAACAATACTTTCCCAGAGGGAGTTTGCCTTACACCCGAGTGAGCCAGAAAAAGTTAGAGGCAAATACACCATAGCTTCCAATGCTTCGCTCCTGAATCTGCATATGGACATACACACACATACATGTGTATACATACATACATATGACGCGCTTCGCTGGGGGCCAGAGGTTCTGCTCCCCGAAAATTCACATGTGGATCCCCCCAACCTGCGCGTTAAAAGCGAAAAACCGCCGGGCTCCCGGGCGTCCGGGGGATACAAAGCGGCGGCCGGGAGGCCGGCAGCGGGTGCCTTCGCGAGGCCTTCCACCAAGGAGCCCATGACGGCCTCGCGCGCCAGCGCGTTTGCGGGGGCGGCTCCCGGGAGTTGGGGTGGATGTGACAGTTGGACTTGCGCGCTTCACGACTTTCGCCTCCACACCTGCTTTTTGCGACCCTCAGCCCGCGCAGGACCCCCAATGCGCTACATGATCGCGGGGAAGCCAAGGGGAGCTGGATGGCGGGAACGCGCTAACGGCCCGCTGCACCCAACGAGTCCAGCATCCCCAGCCGCCGGAACCCTTCCGCGTGGGTTCCTTTGCAACAGCTCCACATCCAACCACTCCGAAACTTCTCTGAGCAAAATTCCCGCCTTCAAATGGCGAGAAACAGCACCCTAAAGAAAGCAACACAGAATCATACACCCTTAGCTGGGCTGCTCAACATAGAGGGTTGGCCAATCCAAATCCACAATCCCTATAGGGAAGCCACTATAAAGTGGACCCTGTGCGCAACCCAAGGTAAGGACTCAGGATTTCCTTTGAACAGCCCAGCTTCGAGTCCATGAATCGAACCTGCTTCAGCCCTGCGCCCAAAATCAGCGTGCGGCGGATAGGCCCCGCGCCATGAGCTCGTTGCCGCTGCGGCAGGGCTGGGGCGACTGCCACTGCCAGGCGATTGGCAAGCGCAGCAGCAGATCGTCCTCGGGCTGAGGCTGCGAGCGATTCTGCCCAAAGGGCCTGGAAATGAAAGGTCATGCTTGACCCCATGACCTCAGTTGTCCAGTTCGGACCCAGGAATGCAAGCTGAGCACCTTTTTGGGGCCATGGCATGACTAAAACATGGAGCAACAACGGAAACCCAAAAGGTCCAAAGCTCGATTCGCTTTGGGCAACTGAGGTGCTTTTCCCAACACAGATCTAAGCTTTTGCTTGCCACTAAAATTGTCTTCTGGAATGTGCGCCGTCCTTTGGCGTGGGGAAAGAACATCCGCTAGCTGTCCCTGGTGAAAGTCATGAGGCAAAATGGGGGACCATGGACTTAGATTCGTTGGGACCAAATGGTCGATGCCATGAGGAGCAAATTCACAAATACACTCCTAGCACAGCGCTCGCAACCAATCTTCTTTTCCAAAAGCTTTCCAAAAACAAGGATCCCCGGAAAGCATGGGAAAGTTCGCCTTTGAACAAGGCGCTCCCTCTGAAGGGTGGCCCTATTAAGGTTCATAGCTATCTAGCCTCAGATAAGCCGCGCAAGTCCGGTTCCAGGCCAGTTCAAAGTCCTCCTCCGAGGGGTACAGGCACCTGCCACCGTTCCAAATAGCAGTCGGCGTGTCTGGTCCCACTTGCCGTCCAAACACCACGGGCGCGACCTCATTTACCTCCCAGGCTCTCAGTTTACTTTCGAGGTCACAGAAACCGGCTCCCCAGGAGCCGGTTTTTGGGGCCCCTCTTGTGCGTAGCAACCCGGCCGCCGTCTTCCACGCACCTCGGAGCCCGGTGCCGGGAGCGCGCTCCCCGCGCCTATGCTGCGACACGCAGAGCATCAGGTGGAGGCCCTCCGCGAAGCTCAGGATGCGCCCCGCCATGTCCGCAACCAGACGCCCCGCCTACGGGGGATCGAAGCTGCCCCTGGTCTTGGATTATTTTTTGGATGTCACTCTGATTTCGCCGACTTGCTAAACAGAAGTCGTGTAGCCTATCCATGCATCTACTGATATGACTGTATATAGGTAAATACATTTGGCTACAGACAACTGTATGCAGAGAAATGTATACAAATATCTATGTACATTTACACACATATTTACATATATACACATATATACATATATAGGAAACCTGGCGGACAACCTCGCGAGGCCGGACGCATTCGCCGCGATTTATAGAGGTCCATGGTGATCTCAGCCTAAAGACGGCCATCAGCAATCCGACAATTGGGCTACCCATGGCTACCCTCCCTCCAATGGAAGCTGATTGGAGTTGGTTTCGCCTTTCTGTGATTCAAAAAGGTGCATATAATTATAATCTACATGGTTCTCAGAGCCCGAGCTGATCGGAAGTGTTTGGCCCGGTGATTGCAACAGCCACGAAGGGCTCACTGGAGCCTCACTGGCGTCGGCCACGGCCCACTCCAGCTCCTCAACATGGCCGTAGAAGCTCAGCATCATGCCCTCCTGAAAACTGGCGGAGGCCTAAAAAAATGGCGGTGGACCCTTTGCAGGGTTGGTTTAAGACCAAGGGAACCAAAGGGCTATTTGCGGGCGTGACAAAGGCGGCGGACAAGGAAAAGTGTGCCGAAACTAGTGCCCCTTGTTCCATGACCCTTTGGGGGACAAATGGTGGATCCCGGAACAGCAAGGGTTGCAGTTTGGCTTGGAAGCACCTCTGAACAAAACTACCGGGTCCTTCTTTGGATGGAAACGGTACGGTTGCCCTTTGGTGGTGATGGATTTGTCTTGGAGATATGCCAAGCTTCTCAGAAGGGTGGCAGCAGTTTCTTCGAGTAGCGGAAAAACACCCAACATTTGAGTTTCCCCCACCCCTCCCCCTCCGGCAGGGTTTTGTGTGTGTGTGTGGATGTGCTGCATTTTCACTTGCAGTAAGGGACGACGAATCTGTAAAAAGCCCTTGTAGTTCACCTGCCATGTGCTTGCAGGACTCCCGCAATCTCAGATGCCCAGTGGCCAGAGCATCCCTCTTTTTTGGGCGGGTTGATTTTCAATTGAACCCTTCCCACCCCCCCAAAAAAAAGAAAGGAGAACAAAAAGCGGAATCCACCGGGCACCTGGGCAGTTGACCCAAACCCCGGCTCTCTCGGCACCGCCCCACCTCGGCGCGGCGCCGCCCAGAGGCGCCCCCCGCCTGCAGGGCCACCGCGGCCTGGCACTCCTCGGGCCACGCGCCGGGCTCCAGGAAGGGGCAGTAGCCCAGCACCGAGCCCGCGCCTCGGCGAGTCATTCGAGGGGCGCCTCGGCTTCTCTGTTTGGAGTTCGGATGCTTTCTTTGGTGGCTTGGGGAAACCTGAGGGGATTCCACATCTTCTTCTATATATTCTTTTTTTTAATAAATATTAGGTTTGTTTTTTTTTATGGTTATATATATATATGTATATATATGTATATTTGGGGGGGACGGGGGGGGTCCCCTGAATTTGACGCACCCAGGTGGGTTGGGCAGGTGCTCCAGGTTTCGCAAGTGTTGGCTTTGGCAAGCCCTGAATTGACTCAACGAATATATATATATATATATATACATATTACTATTATTACTAGTATTATTATTATTATCATTATTATTGTTATTATTATTATTGTTATTATTATTGTTATTATTATTGTTATTATTATTTATATATATAATGCTTCATTCCAAAAAAGGACACCTCTGTTCTGCCCCTTTCCCTTCTCACGAACGCATAATCCCCTTCCTCCAAACAACACCTCCAATGATGCGTGATGTGGGAGTTGTAGAAACGTCTGGTTCTGGAAACGCCCCCGTGGTATCAAACAAGTGGCCCAACCCGCCAACCTGGTTCCAGCCATCTCCCCTTCTTTTGGGGTTGGGTTATTTCACCCCAACCAAAACAAGGACTAAAGGCTTTCCTATATGGACACCGAAAACCAAGAAAACCGCCAAATAATAATTCAGCTCCCCTTTTCAGAGTTTCAAACGGACAGAAGAAAACAGACATGCTGAAGGGTCCAACCAATCGAAATTTGCCATTGGCGATACTGAAGGAAAACCAAAAGCAAAACCATCATCTTGGTGGTTCCCTGAAAACAACGTGGAAAAAAAAAACCTGCCTAAGCCGGGCGGGAACGCGCCATCCAGCGCGCTCGCCTGCGGAGAGAAGGAGCGTCTCTCCAGCCTCCTCCCTAGGGGCATTGAACCCCTGGTTCTGGGGGCTACATAGGAAGCCACTTCCTGTCACCAAAGCAAGATGGTCTCTTCCATTGGCAAGCCCTACGCCTGGTGGAAAATAACACGTTCTATGCTGCTGGCGGCCATTGCTGTAACCACTTTGCCACTGTGAAAGCGACCCTGAGTTCATCGGCTGGAACTCCCCCCTCCAAAAAAACAAAGAATCAAAAAGAAGGACCTCAAATAGACCAAGACGAAGGTGTGTTTTGGCATGTTTTGGAACCTTCATCTGAGCCTGACAAGGAACCCAACAAACGGGAGAAATTCACATGAGTGGATGAGTAGGGGGTACCTGGAAGGTGCCTCCCCTTGGGTGCTTGATCATCGTTCATGAAGATTGCTGGGAACATGAAAACCCCCTTCTTCAAGAACCTTCGTGTGGGGGAATCGCTCGTTTACCCCCATGGTGAGCTCGTGAGGCCTGGCCTGGGTCAGAAGGCCGAGGTACACGCACCGCGCCATGGTGCAGGAGATTCAAAGCCATGGCAGCCCAATGCCGCCTGATTTTTTGATACGGGAAATAAAGACACCATTGGAGAGCATAAGCAACATCCAGGCACTTGAGGCTTTGAGGGGAGGTTCTCCTTCCTTTGTTCTTCATGCCCAAGAACTCCAAAGAAAACACCTTTGAAGAAACACATAAGGAGCTTGCGGCCTGCAAGAACTGCTAATGGCTCACGTAGGTTGGCGCCGGAACCGGAGCGTAAGAAGTTCGGAAAGCTGTCTGCACTTGATAGAGCAGCCACACAGAAACAAAAGGTCGCAAGAAAGGGACCGGAATGGACCGGAGTCGTGCATCCATTCAGTTTTGATGCAATTTCTTTGGGCGGCCGATGAATCCAACCGGCCCCAGAAAACCCAACTCGTAGACGTGGCGTCACCAGCAGTACCAAAACCGCCCTCCAACCCCTCCCCCAAGGAACCTGCCCCCCCTCCCCGACACCAGGTGAGAGGAAGCCCATGGCCCCATCATGGCCCCATCATGGCCCCATCATGGCCCCATCATGGCCCCATCATGGCCCCATGGCCGCCGGAGCAGAGCTCAGGCACGGGCGTGCAGTACGTTGAAGACCGCCTTGCACTCCCGGCCTGTCCGCTCTGTTCAGCGTGAGACGTCGCTGGTTCGCCCCTCGAAAAACACAGAACAGGGCTGGTGAGTCTGGGATGTGTGATTTGCGTACTTTGAGCAACAAACACATATATATATATATATATATATACATATATATATATATATATGTGTGTGTATATTTCTGTAGCTATGTCATTTTCCGTGTTTTACACGAAAACACACCAATCTATAGGCCTCGGGGAAAATTGGGCACTGACCATTTAACCTTCCTGGAAGCCTCTTTGGGAATCATGAGCGATGACCCCAAAACGGCACAGGAAAACGCCTGTCCTCCCGTGCTAATTGGTGGTTTAGTCCTCCAAAAGGGAAACCACAACTCGGCCTGTCATCGGATTCTGGATGTTGAAGCGAAATGAAGGCCAATGTTAGAGGCTGAGTAAGGATAGCCCAAGAGCGCAGCCAAGGAGTCCTTTTCGGAACACTGCACTCTGGCAGTTGCTCTGCAGTTCAAATGTCCAGAGCTCACAAGCAGGCAACTCCGAAATCGGCCTGCTCAAGCAATTTGGGATCACAACACTCGTGGTGCGTCGTGGTGCCGCAGTCTCAAGTAGTCATGTTCTGCACTACTACAGCGCATGGCGCACATGGTTTCGCCCCAGGCCGAAGATCTCAGCTTCAGCAAGGGGGAGCCAGCCCACCTTTGCCTACATCAACCACAACAAGATCAGGGGGGCTGAAACGGAAAGGGGGTTGCTGGCAAAGAAGCTGGCAGACGAAGCCGCCACTGCTCCCCTCTCGGTGGTGGTGGTGCCGGTGCCGGCGCCGGTGCTGGTGGTGGTGCCGGTGCCGGTGCCTGTGCCGGTGCCGGTGCTGGTGCCGTCGCTGGCAGTCTCCTCCTCTTCCTGGGCTGCAAAGGACTCGGTGACCACAGCCAAACGCCGCCCCAAGCGGCGCACGTTGATGTTCGTGGTTCCAAGGTCTGTGCTGAGGACGTCGGACAAGTCGTCGGTCTCGGTCTCGTTGAGGTCCTTTGTGTGCACCCTGCAGGTGTACCGAGCAAGACCCCAAACGATTTTGCACTCCTTGTTGGACACGTTCCGCCCCATGCCCATAGTTGAGTTGGGCATGAAGCCATCTGAGGTCTGCTGCGCCCTGTCGGCGAGCTTGTCCAGCACCGCGTCAGAGCATTCCAGGGCGTCGGTCAGGCTTTCCAGCAGGATGGTGTGCAGCTTGCGAAGGACAATTTCTTTGCCCTCGAGCATGGCTTGGCCAAGCTCCAGGACCTTCTCGGCAGCCTCCTCAGTCCATGCTTCAGCAGAGCCGCTGATATCCTCAAGCGCTGCCTGGGCAATGGAGTTGCAGGTAGCATTCGCCTCCGCACTTTGTTCCTGGCAGGCTGCCCATGTCTCGGCTGCAGCTTTCATCTCCGCAAGTCTGCGCACCACACCG